ATTGTAATTACCTACCTAATGGGCTCATTATATGACATTTAGTATTACTTTGGCTTGAATGACATCTTGAGATAGTGTGTGTGTGTGTGTGTGTGTGTGTGTGTGTGTGTTCTGAAACAAAGCCTCATGTAACCCAGATTGGCCTCACACTTGTTATGAGTGGACACTGGCACTGAATTTCTGATCTTCCTACCTCTGCAGCCCAATTGCTAGGATTACAGGCATGTGCCACCATGCCCAGTTTCTGCATTTTTTAAATGTCATTCATTTTAATATTTGTGTTCTTTTTGTTTACAGTAATTAAATAGTATGTTATTTAAGCCAGGTATGGTATTGCACACTTTAATTCCAGCACTCAAGAGGCAGAGGCACACAGATCTCTGTGAGTTCAAAGTCAACCTGGTCTACATAGGGAGTTCCAGGACAGCCAGAGCTATATAACACTGAGATGCTGTGCCACAGACCACTCAGGGAGAGAACCACAATTCGGGAGAATCGGGGTCTTGGTACTCAGGTTGCAATGGATTCAGCATGACAGACAGACACAAACACAAGAGAGGTTTGATGCTGCTGCAAAAATCTTTACTTCATCACTGTGGTTTATACAAGCAAAAAAGGAACTTCATTTTTGGCTTGAATACAAAAGATGTTTATCATAGATATTATTAGCTCTAAGTAAATTAAATGTTAAACCAAAAGTACAGGACAGGAAGCAGTCTTAGTCAAAATTATCTTGGCCCCAGACAGTGGTTAAGTTGCTGAGATGGCTGTGATTTTGAGAATTTGAACTTGCTAAACTTCAAGGTCTTTCAGGCCAATTTATAAATTTCATAAAGCAATCAATAAAATCCTTTTTAATCCCTTGTATGTCTCCATACAAAGTTTTCTGATTGATAATGTAAATATCTACACACTTGCCATAAAATATCTCTTTTATCTGCTAAAGACATGGCACACGAAGGTGGTCTTGCTCTTTTTAGTCTCTCCCACCAGCTTAATGATATATACAATCTCTTTTCACCCCCAATGACAACCCAGCAATTAAAGTCTTTATCATAAGCTCCTGTGTACCACAAAGGGGCAGCTATTGTCTTCTAAAAATATGGATCTTTGAAGCTGGGCTTGGTGGCCCACACCTTTAATCCCAGCACTGGGGAGGCAGAGGCAGTCGGATCTCTGTGAGTTGGAGGCCAGCCTGGTCTCCAGAGCGAGTGCCAAGATAGGCTCCAAAGCTACACAAAGAAACCCTGTCTCGAAAAAACAAAAAAACAAAACAAAACAAAACAAAAAATGGACCTTTGTACCTTAGGGGCTGCCACCACTTCCCATCAATCTTGTAATAAGTTTTGCCTGATTCAACCTTTATAGGAATTCCAAGCTCTCCTAAGTTTTCTGAATTATCTCCTTGAGCTTCTCTTACTTTTCCTAGACATCTGGTAAGACAACTCTGCTTGCTGAATTGATTCATAATTGATCTGAAGCTTTTATTTTTTGTTTAAACATTTCAAATAGAGTTCTAACTATCGGGGGTCTTCTAGTAGAAATCTTCATATCCTGAGCCACCCTAACAAGGAACTGTTCTGCTCAGACCACAGACACAAACAAAACTTCAGTGGTAGCATTCTGTACAGAAATTGCTGGCGAGGTGCTTTCAGTTCTTGAAACCAAAATATCTAGAGGTACTCGATCTTTCTCCAAAGTAACCAACACCTGATCATCTGCTGATGCTGAGAAAGTCAGATCAGCCATAAGAAAAAAGGAAAAAGCAGAAAACAACCCACCATAGATGGCGAGACACAGAGACCATCTTGTTCTTTTGGGATCCTGCCAGTGACCTCCAGGAGACTTGGCTACAGCAAGCACACATCTCAGGCCTGGACATGTCTTTAACGATATTTGCTTCATGTCACACAGACTCCACTGAAGTGGGTGTGGCAATGCTGTTTCAAAAAAAAAGTATATTATTGAATTTCTACATGTTTAGAAAATTTCTGATTATCTTTCTGTTGCTAGTTTCAAATGCGACTCCATTATAGTCATAATTTTTTAAAAATTTTATAGTTTGCTTTCTGTCTCGAGACATAAGCAATCTTGGTCAAAGTTTCATGAATTCTTGGGGGAAAGTGTGTATTGAGGTCTACACATCATCCTTGATTTGTTTTTTATGTGTGTACAGCACACATAAAACAGTACCTGGAAACAGGCAACAGCACCTTGTCCTAAGTCCTGCAATTTCGACTTCAGACTCCATTTCACCAGTAGGGTGAAACAAAGTCAAGTTCCCAGGCCCCGGGGGAGCTGGGGACTTTCCAATAGCTGACCAACCTTCTCCTTAAACAAAAGAGTCTGTTGTGTGTCTTTCGTTTTCTAAAACATTGTGGTTGTTTCTAACAGCAAAAAGAACAAATGAATCTGATTGGTTGGACTGAAGAGCTTACATTCTGTGTCAGTTGACAATGATGGAACACATAGGGAAAGTCCCTAATCTTTGAATCCTGCTTGGTGGAAAAATGTAACCATAACTTGGAATAGATGTTTGTGGGTTTTGTGCTTAAATACCCACTGCAATGAATGTTCAGTGATATAGTAAGCTATGAGTCTGTGCTATTGTCCCTATGGTCAGTTCTCTTGTTTTTGTTTTCCTGCTACCCAATTCAATACACAACTTGCTTTGTTTGTACTCTGGTGCCTGCTTGGGTTATTGCGGATCCTCAGACACTAATGGGTGCATTGATACAGAAGTGCATGTGTGTGCATGCTTTTGGAAGCTAGACAATAACCTTAAAGGGCCACCTCCTGTAATTCCACCCATCTCCTTTGAATCAAGGTCTATCCTTAGCCTGAAGCTCACCATTTTCTTCCATGTTAACAGAGTCCTTACTTGGCTTGAAGAGGGAAAATATTTACATAATAGTCCATATTTCCTAGATGCCCTTGCAGAAACTTATGTCTACTTAGTTGTGTCATAGCTAATTTCACCCTTTCTGGAATATTCTGTTATATTCAAGAGAGTTCTGAATGTTACAAGATTTGCTGGTAGTACTTTAAAACCATAAAGTCAACTTATGTATAATGCTGAGGTTTCCAAGGTAACTGTGGTGGGCCCTGCACCTCAGATCTCCACCTGTGCTGGGCTGGGTTGGCAGATAGGGGCTCTGACAGTGGGATGCTCCAGTGGCCATGAAGGACTGAAGCAGATGGCAAAGCAGGCTTCTCTTTTCCTTCCTTTCAGCTTATCAATCCAACACATGTTCTTGTTCTGATCTCTTTTCATTGGCTATATTTGATATTCATGTAAGCCACTACCCAATATAGGCCTCAGAGTTGAAGAGGGGAACAGTGATAACGTAGGCCAGGTTTTAGATGGCTGGCATGCATAAGTTCACAGAGAGCCTTTAAGAAACCATAGCAATGGTTATGAACTTGCTAAGAATCAATTTTGCATGGGGAAACCTCAGCCAACCCACAATTACGTAAGTGCTGTAGCTTCATGAAATTGGCAGGGCACTAAAACTATAAATGCAGACTGTCATTCATTTAATGAAACTATGATTTGATGTCACCTTATTATCCCTTTGGAAAGTTCCTTAACAGCTCATTAGGTGAACTGATCACCTCTGGCTGGGGCTCCTCTTAAATGTCAGAGCCCTTCTGTCTTAAATGTCTCCAGATCTTGGCCAAATGGAGACACTCTATTGAGCATTTAAGGAAAGGCCTGGAGATATTCCTTCTGCCTGCACGAACCAGATATGTAAAATAGATGAAGCTGCCTGCAGTCCCACAGAGATCTAGAGTTGAAGCACGGTTATCATCAAACCTGCAGCTATGTTGGACTGCCTCCAGCCCCATACATGCTCTGCGCTGTTTATGTAGCAAAGTTCTCTTCCTGCCAGGCTAAGCAGCTTTCTGTACAAGAAGAGATCTAGTTGTCATCATTTTCCAACAGTCTATCTCTCCCTCCCTCCCTGTCTCCCTCCCTCCCTGTCTCCCTCCCTGTCTCCCTGTCTCCCTCACTGTCTCCCTGTCTCCCTGTCTCCCTGTCTCCCTGTCTCTCTCACTGTCTCCCTGTCTCCCTGTCTCCCTGTCTCCCTGTCTCTCTGTCTCTCTCTGTGTCTCCCCTTACCCCCACCAACCTTCTCTTTTTCTCTTTTGCTCCATCTCCCTTTAGTTTTTCCAGAGTCTCCCTGTCTCTCTCACTGTCTCCCTGTCTCCCTGTCTCTCTGTCTCTCTGTCTCTCCCCTTACCCCCTCCAACCTTCTCTTTTTCTCTTTTGCTCCATCTCCCTTTAGTTTTTCCAGACAGGGTTTCTCCTCTGAGTAGCTCTAGAAGTCCCGGAAGTCCCTCTATAGACCGGGCTGGCCTCAAACTCAAAGACCCGTCTGCTGCCACCACTACCACCAGGCACTTATTGAGCTGCTTTATCCAATTCTGATCTCCAGGGCAGAAAGGCAGAAAGATAATGGCCTGTCGCTTTAAGAATCTGGTGAGCCGGGCAGTGCTGGTGCAGGTCTTTAATCCCAGCACCGGGGAAGCAGAGGCAGGACAATCTCTGAGATCGAGAGCAGCCTGGTGTACAGAGTGGTTTTCAGGACAGCCAGGGCTACACAGAGAAACCATGTCTTGGGGAAAAAAAAAAAAAAAAAAGGTTTTTTGTTTTCCCTCCCCTTTTTCCCCCCCCCCCCCCCCAGCACCTTTCTGGAGAGGGGGGCCCGGGAGACCGCCCCTTTCTCCACACGCAGCTGTACTACGGGTTCGTCGGCCCATCCGTCACAGAGCAGCAGCCTCTGATTGGCTCCTGGAAGTAGGAAGAAAGTTTGTTATCGGGACCGGAGCGGGTCGGCCTCGAGTGAGATCCCGGGCAGCGGCGGGGGGGGGCGC